TATTTTTTATTTTGGCTGACAATCTAAATAATATTTTAATAATATTTAGTAAATATATATTTTCGGTTTTTTTGCTAATCTTTATTAATTTTAACCACTTCATTATCATTCCAAGTATATTCGATTTTTAGTCCCGCCTCATTGACTTCCATGAGTCTACTCGAAATGCTTTCGACAACAGTGTATAGAAATGCTAAATGAAGCATGAAAGGACGAAAAGGACTTGTTTTTGTTGTCTCCTTTTCTCCCTCTCTCTTGCGTTTTCAGCTTGATTTCGCTTTACTAGCGCCGTTTCATGGAACTTTTTGCATAAAGCAAAAATTCTCTCTTATTTGATGAACTGTGGAATAGAGCAGAGTTATAGTATTATGATTATTAATATTAAAGTATTTTTAATAGCATTATTATTACTATAAGTAATCCATTTTATAGAGCACTGATTTAACATATTTGCATTGTGTTTTTTTTTAATCGAGAAGATATTGGGATATAGATATAATTGATAGTGGACTTATAATGTTGTCTATATCAAATCAATTAGCAATAACTGAATCGATTAATTTATTAAGAGTTAATGTCCTAAAAGGTTATGTTTTTATTGAATCGCTGTCTTTACATAGTTATTCCACAAAATTTTTATCAATCGATATGCAATTTTAGTTATATCTTGCCAGTTTTAAAACACTGTGCCAAATTTTATTAATATATCTACGCTCAACTAATTCAGCGTAGAGTTTTTCCAGTCCGTTCATTTGGACTACTCTAGTTCTATTAACATGATAATTAATTCTCTCTATATTTATATTGTCTTTCTCTCTTCCTCCAGGTCGCTTGGATGCACTTTGAGCAATCGGCGATATTGACCGTGCACAATCACGTGATCACGCGCAATCCGCGCATCAGTGTCACGCACGACAAGCACGACAGGCATCGCACCTGGTACCTGCACATCAACAACGTCCACGAGGAGGACAAGGGACGCTACATGTGCCAGATCAATACGGTGACGGCCAAAACTCAATTCGGCTATCTGAATGTTGTGGGTGAGTACTAGCTGTAGTCGTTGTTGTTTGCGGGGTCCATCAGGGCTACCGTCTAATCAGCGGTACCCCTGCTGCAAGGGTACACACGAAAATCCTGTATAAATACGCTGCAAATTAAAAAATAATTTATATGCCTTAAAGCGTGCACACAGCGAGAGAGAAAACAAAGACAAAAAACAGAAGTAAGGGAAGCCAAAAGCAAAGTGTGTATGTGTGAGTGTGTGGGTGTGTGTATATATGTATGTGTGAGTGTGCGTCTGCGTGTGTGCAGTGTACAGTTCAGTGAATCTTTTGGCCAAGCGAAATTATTTTCCCGCCTGGCAAACAAAACAAATTATTAAAAATGCATTCGAAACTCGCCGACAAGGGAGCACAATTTTTTAATTAAAAAATTATGTGCACGAATCCAACAACAAAAAATTCAACTGTTAAAAACGGCTTACAAACAAATACGAATTCAAATAAAAGCAATGTGCAAACTCAGTCATAAAAGAGATATTCTAATCTCTAATCAAAGACTCGATTATGCTGTATAAACAATTAATGTAACTGCGGAAATATTTGTTTTTTTTTTATTATTATTATTATTATTACCAATATTAAAAGTTTGAAAATGGGAGATGAAATTTCATTCAGTATTACAAAATTAAAAAATTAGTATATAGATTTCGTAACAGGAAAATTTAAAACAAAATTAATAATGATAATAATAATAAATATGTA